GTGCTGAGGTGCTCAGACACCAGGCCGTCTTCAAGGGTTGCTTCCATGGTGAGCCGGCCGCACTCACACAGATCCCCAATTCTCCAGCTGGGAGAACTGAACTCCGCCTGCCTGAGTGGTCAGGAGCCAGCTCCAACTCCAAGAAGCCTTTCAGTTCCCGTCCCTTCCGGGAGGGGAGGGGGTTCAATGCCTGCAGCACCGCACCCCACCCTAGGGCCGCACTTCTTGGCTGCCTTTGCCTGCCGGGCAGTGAAAGCCCAAAGTACAGGCTGCAGACAGCACACAGCCCAGAGCCCCGGCAACTCCCTTCTGATTAAACACAGGGAGGTGAGGCTTCCGGTACCCAGGTCTGAAGTCCTGGGCTCCATCTGACCGGCCCCACCCAGGATGGACTCCAGCCACCTGCACAGGGAAGGCCAAAGGCTCACCTTGGCCTGATTCACAGCGGCCATGGACCTGGCCCTCATCAATGAGTCAGCTGTGCAGGAGACAGGAGCCGGGCTGTGCGGTGGAGGAAGCAGCTCAGGCCCCCCGGGCAGGACTGGACAGCACACCAGAGTGGCCCTCACTGCCCAGCACAAGCTGCACAACCAACCAGGCCCGGCTCCAAGCCCCCTCGAGTGCGGGTCCTCACAGCGCCAGCAGCAGACACACCCTGGCCTCTGCCACCCCAGAATGGCCCACCCGGCAGCCCTAAGCCACCAGCAAGAGGAAGGCGGCGACCGTCAGGCGTCTCAGACCCTGGGGCTGGGAATGCTGTCATGGGACAAGGTACAGATGCCGCTCTGTCCCCGAGGTCCTGAGGCAGTCTGAGCCCTCTGGACTCCCACAGCCTGTTTCAGAGGCTGACCCCTTGCTCGTGTGCCTGGAAGACAGAAGTGGCTCCAGTCCGTGGGTTCCTGCCACCCATGGAGCCGCCTCGGATGGAGCTCCTGGCTCCTGGCTCTGGCCTGATCCGGCCCTGGAATTTGAGGAGTGAACCAGCAGACGGAAGATCTGTCTGCCTGCCTTTCAGATAAATCATCTTAAAAAAAAAAAAGAGAGAGAGAGAAGGAAACCCTTGTTGTTGTTTTCGTTTTTTTTAATCGAAGGTCCCTTACTGGTCCTGCTTCCGTGGACGTGAGTGGTCGAGTCGGGGGCGGGGAGGTCATCTCCACAACATTCCATTTATACACAGAACTACAGACGAGCACAGTCACTACTGTGGTTAGAAGTTGGCAGCACGGGAAGGGAACGGGATAGGCAGGGGTAGGGGTGTCGTTAAAAAAAATACAGGACTCCCCCCAAACTGGGGTGCCGGGGGGGGGGGGGGGGCTTGGTCTGTTTCAACCCAAGAGGAATCAGAAAATCAAAAGCAGTTTGGGGCGGCCAGAACCGTCAGGGAAGGGAGGAGGAGGAGGGTCCAGGGGGAGGGGGGCTGTTTGGCAACTGGGGCGAAGGAATTGCCCTCCCCCTGCTGGAATCCCCCCAGCCCCTCCGGCCTGGCAGGGAGGGGGCAGCCTGCAACCCCCAAGGGCAGGTCTGGGGCTGTCAGATGCGCCGGGCGGGGGCTGGGGGCTCACAAGGGCTTGCCCTCCAGGGAGATGACGGCGCTGCCCCCCAGCTTCTCCGCCAGGGTGCAGCGGTCCTTCACCTCCTCGTAGCAGTTGGCTTGCAATTCATGCTTGATTCCTGTGGGGAGGGGGCATCTGTGAGCGGAGGCAGGCCGGCTCCCGGCTGCCAGCTCCCGGCTCCCGGCAGCCCAGGCCCGGCCCTCACCTGTCAGCTTCTTCTTGATGGCGTCCTTGGAGCTGGCGTAGATCATTTTGCTCTTGAGGGGCGCACACTCGGGGGCCCTGGAGAGACACGAGGCAGGAACTCGCGGCCCGCACCGCCCCTCCCGGCTCCCGCGGCGCCGCCCTCCCGCAGCCCCGCTCACCAGAAGATGAACACCAGGTCCTCCTTCTTGCTCTCCTTGGTCTCGTAGGTGGCGTCGTAGAGGGCGTAGCGGCAGTCCTTGTCGGGCAGCATCTGCACGAAGGTGGCGTAGGGGTCCTCCACGGTCTGGCCCACGTCGCCCACCAGGATCTCCTTGCCCTCCTCCAGCACGATGTTCTTCTTGTCCTCGCTCAGGCAGAACAGCACCGCCTTCTTGCGCTTCTTCACCTCCTCGGGCGTCGACGACTTGCGCACCTTCATGTCGTTGAACACCTTGATGACGCCGTCAGAGACAGCCACGCCGGAGGCCTGCGAACGGGCGGGGGGCGACTGCGTGAGAGGCCGGAACGCCGCCCGGGGCCCTCCCAGCCCACGCCCCGGGCGGTCACTCGGCCTGGACAGCCCAGCGCCCTTCCTGCTTTCCACGGCCCCGACGGTGAGGACCCGTGGGAGCAGAGCCTCTGCCGAGGTGCGGGTCCAGAGAGGGGCTCCGGGCCGCCCAGTCCTGCTCCCGGCACCGTCTCGGCCCTGAACAGAGCTGCCCACCGAGCCCGCCAGAGCTGAGAGGGGGCCCAAACACTTCAGCCCCCGCCTCCTCTTCAGGAGGCGACCAGGCCCCCAGGACGTCGGCAGGAGCGCCCACGGAGGCCCTGCCGTTCCAGCAAGTGGGTCAGACAGAATGCAGGCACCTGCTTCCCGACTGGGGTCTCTCCCAACCAAGGCAGGAACCACAGCCCCCAGCCTCTGCGGGTGGCCAAGGGCCCCAGAGGCCACGGGAACGAATCGAAGGAGTGCAGTGGCGGCACCCCACACGGGAGCGCTCGCTGCCCAGCCAGCTTCCTCCCTACGCCCGCAGGGGCAGAGGACGGCCCAAGTGCGTGGGCCCCTGCCACCCGCGCAGGACCCCAGGACGGCGTGTCGGGCTCCCGGCTCCAGCCTGGCCTACACCCGGCTGTGGCGGCCGTTTGGGGAGGGAACCAGCGGATGGAAGACCTCCCTGCCTTTCAGATAAACAAATATTAAAAAAAAAAACTTAACAAGCCAACTGCGGCGCCCCAGGCCCCCGAGAGCTCTGCATCAGGCCCGGGGCGCCCTGGCCAGGAGGGGGAGCGACTGTCCACGATGGGGAAATCTGCACCCCCCAACTGCAGAGGAAGCTGGCCACGTGACCCAGCCGCTTCCGGAGTGGGCGGGGAGAGGACACCGAGAGCCGCGGCCCTCTGCCCAAGAAAACCTCGAATCCGAGGGGCAGCGGCGCCTCCAGGGCCCTCCGTTCCCCGGAACCGCCAGCAGGGCCGCTGGCCTGCCGCCCAGGGCCGCCCCGGCCTGTCCGCCGCCTGCCCAGGGGACCTCGGTCCCCGCGGCCGTCGGGCCGGACACAGGATGCGGGGTGGTTTCCAGGCGGCGCCTGCCTGGATCACTTCCCTAAACTCGGCTCCCTCTTCCGGGCCCAGCAGGGAGAGCCGAAGCCCCGGTAGCCCAGGGGGGCTGCCGCGACCCCCGGCGGCCGCGACCGCGCGTGTGCGCACGCGCCGGCCGGCAGCGCCGCTCCAGCCCGCGCCCTGGCGGGACCCCGCGCCGAGCCGCGCGCCGCAGGCCCGCAGCCCCAGCCACCTGCTCTCGCCGCGGGAGGGGCGCGGGGCCGGGACCGCGCCAGGGTGGGGTGGGGCGCGCGCGCCTGCTGCCTCGCCGCCCCCGGGGCCGGGCTCGGGCGCCGCGTGCTCCGGAGGGGCGCGCGCCCCCGCGAGACGGCGCGCGACGCCGGCGGCTCCGCGAGGGGCGCGCGCCCGCGCCCCCTCCCCCACGGCCGCGGCCCGCGCGGGCGCAGCAGCGCGGTGGGGGAGGGGAGGCCAGGGGGCGCGCGAGCGACGTCCGAGCCGGCCCTTCGCGGCGCCCACGAGCGCGCACGCGCGTCCCGGCGCCGCCCGCCTCCCGGGGCGAGACCCCCTCATCCCGCCCGGGGCGCTCGGGGCCGGGCTGCAGCTCCCGCTCCGCCGTCGCCCTCGGCCGCCTCCCCTCGGCCGCCGCGGCCTGCCGCTCACCATGTTTCCGGAAGCGAGAGGAAGATGGCAAGGGGGCAGAAGGCGGAGGAGACGAGAGCCGCCGCAGCTGCTGCCTGGACCCGACTGAACGCGGCCTCTCCCGGCCCCTTCCGTTTAGTAGGAGCCGCACAATGAGGGGCGGGGCGGGCTTCCGGCGCTCCCTCGCGGGGCCGACGGGAAATGGAGTCCGCGCGGCCGGCGGGCGCGCCGAGTCGCCCGCCGGCTCCCTCGGCCGGCCCCGCGGTGCACGCCGGGAGGTGTAGGCCGGGGCCGCGAGGGGCGGGGCCTCCGCGCGCAGCGCGCGCCCATTGGCCGAGCGTCCCAGGAAAGGCGGGCGCGCTGGCGAAGTGACCCGAAAAGGATCCCTCAGAGGCTCCAGATCCCGGCGCGGGACGGGTGTCTGGAGACCCCGGGTCTGCGGCGGCCGAGGGTGGCGGGGGACGTTGCTTTTCCAAGAGGAAGCGGCTGTTCGCTGGGCTGGGACCCGGCCCTACACCGGGAGAATCGGCAAAGCTGCGCTCGTCCCCAGAGAAAAAGGCGGATGCGGCTCCCACGGCAAAAAGAATAGAAAACACAGGGGAAGCCGCGAGGACTCTGTGTGGTTGATTCATTTATTTTCAGGTGTTTTGCAAATTCAGGGCTGTCAGGCGGTGAGGAGAGGAAACGCGTGTGAGGCCAGACTTGGGCCTGGCTCTCGGGTGCACAGGTGCACGGTTTAACGCGGGCAGAGCCGAGGCGCGAGCGAGCGGGAGAGCAGAGCTCCGGAGGATGTCCTCGGCCCGGGCCCCCACCGCGGCCCCCGAGCAGGGGCGCCTGCCGGGGAGCTCCGGGGACCAGGCCGCGGCCGCGCCCCGCCACCCCCGGGCGCCCCGCAGCTTCCCGGGAGGGGGAGGGGGCCGCAGTCGCCCTGGAGACGCGCTCGCGGCCGCCCCCGGCCGCGGGATGCCCTAGATGTCCTTATTAGGACATGAGCCTGGCGGGGGCGGAGCCGGCCGCGGCGCCGGCTTCGGGCTCCTTATAAGGCCGTGCTGGGAGGGAGGCGGGCTGGGCCCCGGCGCCCGGCCCTCTCGGGGGGTCCCGGGCCCCGCACGCCCCTGCTTGGGGTTCGCCCGCTCTCGACCTGGGACTGCTGCGGACGCCAGCAGGGCCCGCTCCCCCTCCCTGCGCCGAAGCACCTGCTTACGTGTCGCTCAACCTGGGGCCACCGAGTTCCATCTCCAAACCTCGCTGGGGGAAGGGGGTCCCGCGCCTCCACCGAGCCCCCGAGCCGGGGAGCCTCAGCCCCGGAGAGGCTCACGTGCGCCCCTCTGGCCGCCACACCTGCCGGGACGCACACAGCGCCTCTGCTCTCACCCCAGTCCGCCCAGCTAGGGCTTCCGCCGCCGCGCACCCCAGAGCCCCTACCCACAGAGGCACCTGCGCTCCGCTGTCCCCCGACCCCAGTCTCCTGGAGTCTCCTCATGCCCCCTCCCACAGATGCACCTGCGCTCCGCTATCCCCCGCCCTTCCTGGACTCTCCTCGTGCCCCCTATCCTCAGAGGCACCTGCGCTCCGCTGTCCCCCGCCCCCAGTCTCCTGGAGTCTCCTCGAGCCCCCTCCCACAGATGCACCTGCGCTCCTCTGACCCCCTACCCACAGAGGCACCTGCGCTCCGCTATCCCCCGCCCCCAGTCTCCTGGACTCTGCCCGAGTCCCCTCCTACAGAGGCACCTGCGCTCCTCTGTCCCCCGCCCCCAGTCTCCTGGAGTCTCCTCGAGCCCCCTCCCACAGATGCACCTGCGCTCCGCTGTCCCCCGCCCCCAGTCTCCTCGAGCCCCCTCCCACAGATGCACCTGCGCTTCTCTGACCCCCTACCCACAGAGGCACCTGCGCTCCGCTATCCCCCGCCCCCAGTCTCCTGGACTCTCTGAGCCCCCTCTCTGCTGCCCCGCTCGGCCGGGGTGAGGCAGGGCCTGGCGGTCCTCCTCGCCGCTAGGGGCGCTGTCCGCCCTCCTCCGAGGGCGCGTGGGGCCCCCGCTCTCGAATCCGCCGTGGGAGGAAGGGGCGGGTCGAGGCTCAGGGGCCTGGGCGGGGCGCGCCCGAAAAGCCGGCCGCGGCCGGGCGGGGGCACCGAGGCGAGAGGTGGCCGCGGCTGCGCTGGGCTCCGGCCACTGAGGGCCGCGCGGGGGCGGGGAGGGCGGCGGGAGGCGCCTCTCGGGCTGGGCCACGTGACTGCAGAGGTTCCCGCCCTCAGTCCCTACCCCGGCCAGGTGTTCGAATCCAGCCACAGACCTGGCGGCGGCCCGGCCCCGCGGGCGCCGGGGCTCATGGCGGCGCCGGTCCGCCTGGGCCGGAAGCGCCCGCTGCCCGAGTGCCCGAACCCGCTCTTCGTGCGCTGGCTCACCGAGTGGCGCGACGAGGCGGCCAGCAGGGGGCGCCGCACGCGCTTCGTGTTTCAGAAGGTGGGTGCCGGGGGCAGGTGCGGGCCGAGCCGGCCGGCGGGACCGACCTGCCCTGACCCGAGGCCTCCCGCCCGCCTCCGCCAGGCCCTGCGCTCCCTCCGGCGGTACCCACTGCCCCTGCGCAGCGGGAAAGAAGCTAAGATCCTGCAGCACTTCGGAGACGGGCTCTGCAGGATGCTGGAGGAGCGGCTGCGCCAGCACCGAGCGTCCGGCGGTGAGCGCCCGCCGCGATGGCCTGGCTGCGGGCTCGGGCTTCCGCTCGCCCCGGGGCTGGCGGGTCTCCAGGCTGCACCCCGGGACCCTCAGAGCTGCGGTGCGGGGCTGACGCTCTTACGCTCCCGCAGGCGGCGATGGCGAAGGCGATGGCGATGGCCAGGGCTCACCGTCCGGAGCGAGGAGTCCCCCCGGCGAAGGGCCGCCCGCCCAGGCCCAGGCCCCTCCCGTGGCAGTGAGGAGGGGTGGGGAGGGCGCAGGGGGAGCCGGGCACTAGGGGCTTGGGGCGTTAGCAGGCCTGAGTCCGGCTCTCACCACGGCTGCCTGGCTTGGGGCGAATGACACCCTGTTAGTGCTTTAGGCTGTAACTTGGGATGTTGGGAACAGCTGGCGACAGCTCCACGCTCAGCCACTTAGGGAAGCCACGGTGGGGTCCTTGCGCGGGCAGACTTCAGTGGGAGGGGGAGCTGGGGGGGCAGCAGGTAACTCCCAGCCCCTGCCACTGCTCCTACCGCACCCCCTCCCGCCTCTGCCCCGATTTCTAGAGGTCGACCCCTCTCCCGGCCCGTTTTACAGGTGGGGCAGCCGTGGCTTGGCCGGGGGCCTGGCTCCCTTTCCCAGCCCCCCTCTGCCTTTCAGGCCTCGGCGCAGCCCCAGGCCGGCGGCTCCGGTGGCTACTGGCCGGCTCGGCACTCAGGGGCCCGGGCGGTGCTGCTGCTGCTGTACCAGGAGCACCTGGTGCGTGCCGGGCCCCCGGGAGGGGGACGGGCACGGGGGCGGGCGCGGAGCGGCCGGCGCTGAGCCTGCCCCCGCGTGTCTGCTGGCCGTAGAACCCCGAGGGCCGAGGCTTCCTGACCAAGGAGGAGCTGCTGCAGCGGTGCGCTCAGATGGCCGCCAGGGTGAGCCCAGGGCGCGGGCGCGGGGCCTGACCCGCGTGGCAGCGCCGCGGCGCTCTGAGCGTCCCCTCCCGCCGCACAGGTCACTCCCGGGAGCTCGCGGTCCTGGCCAGCGCTCCGCTCCCTGCTCCACAAGAACCTGGTGCTCAGGGCGCACCAGCCAGCCAGGTGCGGACACGGGGGGGCGGGGCGGTGGGGGGGGCAGTGAGCGTGGTGGGGGGCAGTGGGCGTGGCGGGGGGGACAGTGTGCATGACTCGGGCAGTGAGCGTGGCAGGGCAGTGTGCGTGACCCGGGCAGTGAGCTTGCCGGGGGACAGTGAGCAGGGCGGGGCAGTGGGTGTGGGGGAGATGGTGTTTGTGGCAGGGGCAGTGGGCGTGACCCGGGCGGTGAGCGGGGTGGGGCAGTGGGCGTGGGGGGGACAGTGAGCGTGGCGGGGGCAGTATGTGGGGGGGGGACAGTGAGCAGGGCAGGGCAGTGTGTGGGGGGGGCGGTGGGCATGGTGGGGCGGTGAACGTGGCGGGGCAGTGGGAGTGGTGGGGGCGGTGTGCGTGACCCAGGCGGTGAGCGTGGTGGGGACAGTGAGCGTGGCGGGGGCAGTGTGCGTGGGTGGCAGTGGGCGTGGGGGGGACAGTGAGCGTGGTGGGGCGGTGGGCGTGGCGTACTCATGGGCCCTGTGGGCTCCCAGCAGTTCCCAGACCTGATGCGGCGGCTGGGGAGTGTGGGAGTGAAGGAGGCAGGGGCGGGTGAGGGCAGCGGGAGAAGTGGTTCGAAGGCCTTAGAGTGGTGAGCGGGAAGATGAGGGAGGAGTGCGTGCCAGAGGGTGCTTTTCGCAGACCTGGGAAGTGGCACCGGGCAGGGGCGGGAAGGCGGGGGCAGGAGCGGGAAGGCGGGCACAGGGAGCCGCTGGGCTTGTTTGCGGGAGGCCAGCCCGGCGCAGCCCAGCGTGGGGCAGGCGAGAGCCTGCCAGGGGCCAGGGAAGAAGGCAGAGCTGTGTTGTGTCCCCTCCCAGGTACTCGCTCACCGCGGAGGGCCTGGAGCTGGCCCAGAAGCTGGCTGAATCGGGACCGCGCTCGGTGGACGCGGGCGTGGGGCCCGAGCAGCCTCCCGGGGAGGAGCCGGCAGTGCCAGGGGCGGCCCCGGCTGAGCTGTGAGCAGGGGCAGGGGAGGAGGGGGCCTGGAAATGAAGCCGCCGCCCCGCCCCGCCCTGCTCTGTCGCCTGCAGCTGAGCCGGGGCGCTGGGGGCTCTGGCCTCCAACACCACCTCTCTCCCCCTCCCCCTCCCCCGTAGTGGCGCCAGCGCGGGGGGTGTCCAGCAGGCAGCGCTGGAGCTGGGGCCCGGGGAGTACAGGGTGCTGTTGTGTGTGGACGTTGGTGAGACCAGGGGGTGAGTGAGGCGGGGCAGCCTGGGAGCCGGCGGGGGGAGGGGATGCTGGCCTGCCCTGACCTTGGCCTCCTCTGCACCACCAGGGCGGGGCACAGGCCCGAGCTACTCCGAGAACTCCAGCGGCTGCGTGTGAGCCACACGGTGCGCAAGCTGCACGTTGGGGACTTTGTGTGGGTGGCCCAGGAGACCCGGCCCAGGGACCCAGGTAAAGGTGGGCAGGTGTCAGAGGCGGGGCCAGGCGGGCAGGGGACGCGCCCCCGAGACGCTCCCTGGCTTCTCCGCAGCAAGGCCAGGGGAGCTGGTGCTGGACCACATCGTGGAGCGCAAGCGGCTGGACGACCTGTGCAGCAGCATCGTGGACGGCCGCTTCCGGGAGCAGAAGGTTCCCTGGCCTCCGCACTCCCCGCCCGTCCCTGCCCTGGGGCCGCCTCAGCGGGGTCAGACCCCCGCGGTCCCATCCGGACGCACGGCAGCAGCCCAGGGTGCCCAGCCCTGCAGTCTCCAAGGAACCAGGCCCGGCCGTCTGGGAGTGGAGTCTGACGCTGATTTCCACAGGGGCTCCATGGAGACCAGGGCAGGCGGAGAGGGCCCAGGGCGCAGTGTCCATGTCTGACCCTCCCCGCCCCACCCCTGCCTTCCAGTTCCGGCTAAAGCGCTGCGGCCTGGGGCGCCGGGTGTACCTGGTGGAGGAGCACGGCCGGGCCCAGAACCTCAGCCTCCCAGAGAGCACGCTGCTGCAGGCCGTCACCAACACCCAGGTGAGCGGGGGCGGGCTGCCGGCCCCTGCCAGGGGCGCCTGGGCCCGGGGCTCGGGCGGGAAACTCCCTGCCTCTCCGTCCCCTCTGCTAGGTCATCGATGGCTTCTTCGTGAAGCGCACGGCGGATATCAAGGAGTCGGCGGCCTACCTGGCCCTCATGACTCGGGGCCTGCAGAGTCTGTATCAGGTGAGCTGGCCACCTGCCTGCCGCTGCCCGTACCTGGGCCCCCACGTGCTGCGGGGCGTTGGTCCCTGAGGGCTGCCGCCTGGCCTCAGTGCCGCCTTCTTCTAGGGCCACACCCTACGCAGCCGCCCCTGGGAGCCCCCCGGGGACCCGGGATCCGAGACCAGGCCCAGCCCGAACCCCCTGTGCTCACTCCTCACCTTCAGCGACTTCAACGCGGGAGCCATCAAGAACAAGGTACTGCCTCCGCGCACCCAGCTCCTCCTTGCCGGGCCCCGCCCCCTCTGACACCGCCCCCGCCCCCCCAGGCCCAGTCCGTGGGAGAGGTCTTTGCGCGGCAGCTGATGCAGGTGCGTGGAGTGAGTGGGGAGAAGGCAGCGGCGCTGGTGGATCGATACAGCACCCCGTCCAGGCAGGTGTCCACGAGGGCCCACGCCCAGACCAGTTCAGCTAACACCTGGGGTTGGGAGGGCCTGGCTGTGTGGGCCGTGTGGACCCAGGATGGACGGATCCGGCTGAACCCCGGGGATCTTGCAGCGGGCAGCGGGGCCCTGGGCGCTGGGGGAGGCCACGGGCGGGAGGGAGACTGGGTGCAGGGGTGGGGGAAGCCGCTGTGGGAACTACTGCTGGTTCTGCCCCGTGTTCCCCAAGGAGGGGGCAGGTGGGACGGAGCGGGACCTTGAATGCCAGGCGTGGGAAGCTCACAGCCTCCCGCCAGCAGGCCCAGAGCCCTCCCGGGGGGGCCAGCCCTGAGGTCAGCCCCCGCCCCCCCCCCCCCCGCAGCCTCTTGGCCGCCTATGATGCCTGCAGCAGCCCCAAGGAGCAGGAGATGTTGCTTAGCACCGTCAAGTGCGGGCGTCTGCAGAGGTGAGGCCAGGAGGCGGGGCGCGGCAGGGGCGGGGCGGGGCTGCCCTGGGCCCAGGGGGCCCTCACCTGCCCCTCTTCCTGCAGGAACCTGGGGCCTGTTCTGAGCAGGACCTTATCCCAGCTCTACTGCAGCTGCGGCCCGCTGACCTGAGCTGTGCCGGGAGGCAGAGCCCCGGCTCCCTCCCTCCCTCCCTCCCAGGCCTTTTAACCAGGGCCTCGGGCCACAATAAAAATGAAGTCTGCAGCCTCGGTGTGTGGGGGGCGCGTGGGCCCAGCAGTCGTTAGAGCGAGTCCTCCAGGCCTGGGGCTCCCGGGCCTGGGGCCGCAGTGCGCGGCGACCTTGACCTGGTTTGCAGGAGCGGATGGTCCCTGAGCAGAGTCCCGCTGCTGCGAGGTTCTCTGGCTTGGGAAAGAAGAGTGGAAGACCACAGCAAGCAGTTGCCTCCTTTATAACTTAGAACACAGGCCCAGGGAGCGGCGAGGGCTGTCCGAGGCCTGGCCCGGAGCTGGGACTGGGCCCGTGGCGCTGTCCGTCGTGGGGGGGGGGTGTCCGCAGGTCCCTGCAGGGGGCCAGCCAGGCCTACTGCACTTCAGTCTGCACATTCCCCTCCTTCCCTCTGGGGGCAGCCCCGCCCCTCCCCGGCGGCCTCGGCCAGCAGGGCTCCTCCTTTGTCCCTTTATTGCCTGTCCCTCTCTGCCCCTCACAACGGCATCTTGCACGTGAGCGGAGCAGTCACCCCGCGCCCCCACCCGCCCCTCAGAAGGCGTAGGCCCCCACGAAGACGGTGAGTCTCAGCACGGAGCTGGCCCGGTAGCTCATGAGGGAGTTCATGGTGACCATCTCCAGGTCCAGCACGTACTCCCGGGGGCCTGTCACCGGCCGGGCAAGGACCAGCATGGCGCTGACATTGTTGATTTGCTGCAGGGCACACGGGTTGGGTCAGCCTGGATTCCGGGACCCTGCTCCAGTCACCGTCTCCCCTCCCCTCCCGCCCTCGGGGAGCCACAGGTGCCCCCCCCAGCCGGTTCTGTCCAACCAGGGCTCAAGGCCAGGTGTGACGCCGCGGGGTGGTGAGGCCTTTGGTGACTGGAGCGGGCAGACTCCCCTTTGAAGCACCCACTTCCCAGAAATAAAAAAAAAAAAAAACTGGCAGGCGCAGTGGCACAGCAGGTGAAGGCCCTGCGGGGGGCACCCGCGTCCCACAGGGGAGTGCCTGGCTCCGGCTCCTGCTAGTCCCCCGGGAGACCTGAGTGCACGGGTTTCTGCCGCCCATATGGGAGACCCAGAGGGAGTTCCTGGCTTCTAGCTTCAGTCTGGCCCCGCCCTGGCAGTTGCAGATATGTGGGGAGGGGGTGAACCTGCAGATGGAAGATTCTCTCTCTCTCCCTCTAACTTCAAATAAATAAAGTTTAAATAGCTGGCGTGCCGTAGCAGGAAAAACAGCTGCCTATGACGCCGGCATCCCATATGGGTGCTGGTTTGAGTCCCGGCTGCTCCGCTTCCAGTCCAGCTCCCTGCTAATGCGCCTGGGAAAGCAGTGGAAGGTGGCCCAGGTGCTTGGGCCCCTGCACCCACGTGGGAGACCCGCATGAAGCTCCTGGCTTTGGCCTGGCCCAGCCCAGTGGAATATCTTTTTCTCTGTGTGTCTAACTCTTTCAAATAAATAAATCCTTAGAGGGAAAAAAAATGAATAAGTAAAACCCAAGCACGGACCGCAGACAAACCGCACACGAGGGCCCTGGGCTTCAGACTTGCACTGCTCTGTGGACCCCCTCACCTACAGCCCCACCAGCAGGGCTGCATCCTCTGGCCCCAGACCCCTGCACGAGCCCCCAACACCATTCCCTTGTTTTATGGGTGAGGAAATTGAGGTCGGATGGTAGACACCATACCAGGCCTAACCCCCTCCCCCCTCCCCCCGCCCCGGGGAGCAGCCCCACCTCCCTACAGAGGCCCCACCTCCCCGGGGGCGGGGCATGGCACGGAACCACGGGAACCGTCTCCCACTCCAGGCTTCCGGAATTCAGCCGAGGGCTGGGGGTGAGGGAGAGCCTTACCCTGATGTAGAAGTCTCCCTGTGAGTTCCCGGCGCGGATCTGGAAGGCGTTGTAGGCGCCGGGGTAGACAGACGTGGCCTGGATCTGGAACACGTCGGCAGGGACGCTGCGCTCGGAGGTGATGCTCATGTAGCGGTGCACGATGGACGAAGGCTGCTCTCGACACAGGGGATTGGAAGCCGGACAGAGGCAGCGGCTAGAGACCCCAAGGCGCGGGACACAAATGAAGTCCTAGCTCATCTTCCCAGGCCCCCACCCCGGCCCCGAAACTTGGCCCACCTGCTCCATTCCCCTGGAACTGTGGGCAGGGTTTAGCCATGAAAGACTACAACTCCCATCAGCCCTTGTGGGCACTCATCCGCTCAAGCGGGCAGCAGTCCACCCCAAAGCCTTCTGGGTGTTGTAGTTTCTGCTGGCACAGCAGGGACTCACTTGTCTGACACTTGCACGTAGGGCTCCACGCAGCGGTTCGTGTCCACGCAGCGGTAACCCCCGTGGAAGTTAACACAGGTTTGGGCCTCAGAGCACTGGTGTGCACCGGACTCACACTCATCGATGTCTGCGGGGAGGGGGCAGAAGCGTCAGGCCGCCAGCCCCCCACGCCCCTGCCTGCCCCACCTGGGCAGGCCGTACCTTGGCAGAGGCGTGAGGCCATCAGCTGGTAGCCTTGCGGGCAGTGGCAGGAGAAGCGTCCCGGCTCGTTGACACAGCGGTACTGGCAGAGGTAGCTGGAGTAGCTGCACTCGTCGATATCTGCGGAAGGCTGGGGGTGAGGACCCCGGGCCCGGGGCAGGCCTCACGGGTCAGCCCCACAAGGCTTACTGCCAGGGCCCATCACGTGTCGGGCTGAACGTGGGGAGGCAGAGATGAGACAAGGCCCTCCGCCCCAGTAAAGGGCAACAGGGGTCACAGAAGGGCTCCCAGTCCTGCCCCTGGACGGCCCGGCCCCACGACAAAGAAGCTCAGGGCGTCTGCAGGCTCAGATGGACTTTGGGGAACCCCGCTTCCCCTGCCTTTAGAATGAGTGAATGAGGGGCTGGCGCTGTGGTACCGAGGATAAAGCCGCCACCTGCAATGCTGGCCTCCCATACAGGTGCCGGTTCAAATCCCGGCTGCTCCACTTCCGATCCGGCTCACTGCCAACGCCCCTGGGAAAGCAGTGGACGATGGCTCAAGTGCTCGGGCCCCTGCACCCATGTACGTGGGAGACCTGGGTGAACTTCCAGGCTCCTAACCCAGCCTGGCCCAGCCCTGGCTGTAGCGGCCATTTGGGGAATGAACAGCAGATGGAAAATCTCTGTGTATATACCCTGTGTGTGCATAACTGTGCCTTTCAAATAAACAAAAATATGTTTAAAAAACTTGCACAGGTCAGACTAGAGGGATCATGAGGGACCTAGTTTGCAAATCCTGAAACCCCCCAGGGGGCTACACATGCAGACCATTTTCTTTCTTTCTGTTTTTTATTTCATTTTCATTTTATTTGAAAGGCATAGAGACAGAAACCTTCCATTCGTAGTTCACTCCCCAAAGAGCTGCAACAGCCGGGGGTCAGGGAAGCCCAGAGCTCAGTGCAGGTCTCCCGTGTGAGTGACAGACACCCAGCTACGGCGGCTCCACCTGCTGCCTCCCAGGGCACCAATTAGCAGGGAGCTGGGACTGTGAGTGGAGCTGGGCTCGGACTCAGGTATTCAGGTACGAGGCATGGGCAGCTCAAGCAGGGTCTTCTCCGTCCTCTCCAACACCTGTCCTGGGCCCACGTTTCCGCAGGCCCAGGTAGGTAAGGAGGTGCACTGTACGGGGCAGGTTCTGGAGAAGTGACAGTTCGTCTTGGGGCACTGCGGCTTCCACTGTCCTCGTCCCACTTAACCCTTGAGAGGACCCCCCTACGGCAGGGAAACAGGCTCAGACCAGCGACTGCCCCTGTGCGGCCTGACCCCCGTTCCAGCACTCCTGAGCCTCTCTGTCCTCCGTCCCAGGCTGGGAGTGCCCTGTGGCCAGCCCGGGGTGCAGCACCCTGCAGGGGCGCGCGTCCGTCCACAGTGGACGGGACGTGGGGGCACCCTGGCCGCCGCTGGGGGAGCCCGCGCAGGGCTGAGCTCACCGCTGCAGGAGAAGCCGTCGCGGTGCAGCTCGTAGCCCTGGTGGCAGCGACACAGGAAGGTCCCGTAGGAGTTGAAGCAGCGCTGCTCACACGGGGCGCCCATGTCGCACTCGTTCACATCTGGGGGTGCCGGGACAAAAGCAGAGGGGCAGTCTGGGCTGGCCGCCAAGGGCGCTCCCCCAGCTCATACCTCCCAGCCCCGGGGGCCCCAGGAGCCCGGCCTGGCCCAGCCTCACCCACACAGGAGCGGTTGTTGGGCCCCAGCTGGAAGCCCGGTTCGCACTGGCAGCGGAAAGAGCCGGGCAGGTTCACACAGCGGTGCTGGCAGTAGCGGTAGCGGCACTCGTCAACGTCTGCGACGGCGGCGGGGAGGGAGGCCGCGGAAGGCGCCAGTCAGTGGGGCCCCCACTCGAGGCCTCACTGCCCACAGACCCGGATGTCTCTGGGCAGCTGGACGGGGCCAGCCAGCCAGAGGACGCACGCACGCACAGGCACACACACACACACACATGCGCATGCGCACACACACGGTGTCCATGCAGTCCTCTGTGTCTGATGGCAGGAAGGCAGAGGGGGCCGGGGGCTGGGGTGACGCCCGGGGGTGGGCTGGAGTTGGGGGCTCAGGAACAGACAGGCTGCTGGCCGCACTCACCCACACACTCCGGCCCGATCTTGCGGTAGCCATCCGGGCAGGTGCACTCGTACGAGCCAGGCAGGTTGTGGCAGTCCTGGCTGGGCCGACAGTCGTGCAAGGCCTGCGCACACTCGTCCACATCTGCAGCAGACACCCCTGAGCCTCCGCCTGGGGTCGCTCACGCCATCCGGCGAGGCAGGCACCCAGCGTGGGAGGACGCAGTCCAGAAGCCACCACGAGGGCACAGGAGACCCCTCCCACCCGCCCACCAGCCTGGGAGGCAGCAGGAGACAAGGCTCTGTCCACACCCTCAGCCCCCAGCGACCCTGATCCCAGGACACCCCCCGCCAGGGCCCGCGGCTTCCAGGGGTGCAGTCCAGATCAAGGCTCCTGCAGGGTCTCTGCAGCACGTGAGGGGAGGGTCCCCTGGGACTGGCCCCGGACACAG